CCGGGCTCGCGCTGACACACCGCTTCTCTGGCCATGCTGAGGCCTCATCCCACATACAGCAACTAGAAGGATGTGCAACTATGACATACAACTACCTACTGGGGCTTTGGGGAAAAAAAAGGAGGAGGATTGGCAATAGATGTTAGCTCAGAGCCTGTCTTCCTCAGCAAAAAAAAAGAGGAGGATTAGCACGGATGTTAGCTCAGGGCTGATCTTCCTCACACACACACACCAAAAGACATATTGGAATATCACTATTTTGGGGTGGCATAAGACGCATGTCCTGGGAAAGTTGGTTGCTCCAGTGGGTTAATAAGGTAAAGAGTCTGGTTTCTATTTCTTAAGATTTGGTTAACTTCATTCTCCCTTTTTGTCTGCCTCTACTCCCAGTTTCAGACAACCATCTCCCAGGAGGGTGATAGGGATGAGAGTACAGGGAGAACAGAGAAAGGAGTATGTTTAGGAGTCCTTGCCTCACCATCATCACCACATGGTTAAATTGGTTAATCTGGCCAACTGAAAGCCTGGGGCAACCCAAGGCCCGTAGATCATTTCCTTACTTACTCATCACTCTGGTCTAAACACAGCCTCAAAACAATGGATGCATTATTTTCAGTCTTGAGTTGAATTTTAGAAAAACTATTTACCCATTTAAATTCTTTCTAAAGGGTTTTTATTTTTCTTTATTTGATTAGATGGTGGGAAAACCCTAACATATTTCAACTATGACTACAGTGGGGATTTTCAAACGGCTACTTTTGAAGGACCTGAAGTTAAGAAAATTTTCTATGGAAGCTTTCACAAAGTGAGTAATGCCTTAGATACGTATATTCTTTATTCTATTTGCTATGAGCAAGGCAGCAGAAAGATATTTTAAAAATTCCACAAGCTTGAGATCTCCAGTTACAACTGGAGTCAGAATGACCTGTGGGGCTTGTTAACAGTGCCCAGAGATTCTGATTTTGTAGTTCTGAGAGGGGACCCTGAAACGTGCCTTTTTAGCAAGTACCCCAGGAGATGTTGATAGAAGTGGTCCAGGTTCCCACTTTGAGGAACAACGTAGTAGAGGGTACCGTATTATTAAGCGGACAGTTATTAATTCACTACACTGTGTGTAATGTAGAAAAAAGATTGCTGGTCTACCTGGCCACCAATGGAGATGAGAGCTCAATTAGCCAAATCATGTTAAAGTGTGAAGATAGATGGCACTGATATTTTATATATATACAGACAACCCATCACTGTGATCATAAAAGTTACCCTAAGGAAGAATTTTCTAAAATCTGAATTTAGTTGTTCTGATTTTAACCTGGCACTTAAAGAACTCTGTTGTTTAACATTTCACATCTCTGAAACACTTAGTTTTGGTGATCACCGGAGTAGACCTGCTTCCTTCCGAAATTCACTGTTTCATTTGTGTTTTGTGAATAACCCCACTGATCTCTGGGCTGTTAAGGAATGCAACACCAAGACTGCAGGGAGAGCAGAGCATTTACCAGGTAGAGCTGCCAAGAGCCTGGCCTTTTAACCAAGCCCTTCTTACCCCTTTAGAGTGAGGAAAGGGATGTTGAACAGTAGTCTTCATCTTGGCTTCTGTCTCCTGACCTAGAACATGTCAAGTCCATCTAACTTACACAACTTTGCTACTTTCTGGGGTTTTAAATAACATAACTATATAGGAACAATTTCCTAACAAAATTCCTCCTCTTTTTTGCATAAGAAAAGTTGCATAAAAATATTACTTTTTCTGGTTTAATAAGACTGTACAACCAGAAGTACAAGGTATCTTAGAAACACATGAAATGCAGGTGGAAATTTATTAGTTCTTGGTTCAAAATGGTCCCATTAGCAGCTATTTGGACTTAATTGTCATTTACTCACCAAGTTCCTCTTGACATGATTCTTTTCTTGGTTAGGCAGAATCTATTGCAAAGTAGTCCAGAAAAATTGTAGAGGAGAAGAAAAGCATGTGAGATTTCATGTGTGTTAAAAAAACATTGCCATCTTAGCCTGTGGTATCGGCATGAACTTGTAATTCTCATTCCAAAGAATCCTTTATGAGTCTTAGGTAAATGTTAAGCTTTACTTACCTTACCTTACCTTTGAGAAGAGCTCAAGAGCCTGTAAGTAAGGTTCATTAAAAATAGGTTTCAAATTTATAAGCCTTCAAATTTTTTAAAATTATATGAAGAAAAACTTTTCTCTCTTTGTTAAGTGTTAAAAAAGCCAAACAACCAAACAAAGAAAAAAGAAAAGCTTATAATGTAACAAACTACATTATTAATAGATCTGTTAGTGGAAAATCTTGATGGAAATTCAATTTGTAGAGATCACATTTGATTTGTTCATGGACTTATATTATAATTGAATAAATACTTTATCATTAATTTTTAGTTGGCTTTATTTTTTTACACTTTGGGTGTGAAGTATGGCTCCAAAGTCTCTTTCAAAAAATTAATAATTATATAAATGAATCCTTAAATGTAACCAAAGAAGAAAAATATTTTTGAAAACTTTTCAATGTCTCCTTTTGTAAAGCAAAAGTTGTTTTTTTTAAAAAAGTATGAATAATTTTCCCACAACCTAACAGTTCTTAAATCATGAATATTATATGCTAAGTTGTCTAGCCTGAACATTTCTGTAATTTGTAATAATGAAAGGTGTTGCAAGGCGCAAAAAGACACAAGAGTCAAATTATACTCTTCTAAATGATCATAAAAGAGATGTTAATATGAAGCAAGTAATGTGGGGGATTTGCTCCGGCAACATTTCTCCAGTTGAGTAATGGTTAACTCCTGGCTGAAGGAAAAAGAATTCTCAAGAGCCTCCACTGCTGACTTACATTATTTTTATCATGATGTAACTTAAATAAAACATTAAATAAAAATTGGTATAAATCCTTATGCTTTCAGTTCCTATGCAACAATGAAACAAAAATAAATGAAGATTAAATAAAACCAATAAAATTAAAAGTAACACTATTTTACTATGAAAGGTGATGTTACATCCCTGACGTTCAACCTCTGCTCACAATGCAAATACAGTCCTAGCTGCTATAACTGTGTATCTCATGACCATCAACAGTGCCTAGTACTTTTTCTCTTTGAACCGTCATGATACCTTCCCTTATGCAGCTATTTGTAGCTTCTTTTGGCTTTCACTTGATGTGGAATCATTATTTGCCTATTAATTCCACTCTTTCAGCTTACTAAACAAGTAGCTTGCCACAAACAGTAGTATTCGCAGGGCAAGTGCCATCATAAATTGAAATATATATATAAGCACTGAAATTTCATGGCAGAACTTGCTTACAATGTGGTTCATCTAGAATATACTTAGCTTTGACTGTCACCTACATGATAACACAAATTTTTACAAATCCTTACAAAGAATGTGTAGACTCCTAAATATATTACCATGGACCTCCAGATTCTAGAGGTTTCAGTTTGAGAAAACCACACCTGTTAAGCCAAAGGGCTTTATTTCATTTGGGCCTGGAGTAACCAGAAAGCATTCCTCTTTCCCCTTCAGATTCTAGATCTCCTCTCCTCATCCTAAATTAAATAAATATTATCAAAGTGTGGTCTGCCAACCACTGGAAGTACCTTAGATAATTTTTGCTCGTAAATCAATCA